AAAAGCCCCAGACGTCCTGTCCCCCCTTGACGAGAAGGGGAACCCGGTCCCCATCCCTAGAGGGAACCCGAGCATCCTGCTTCCCCAAGGGCAGAGCCCAGGTGTCTCGCTATCCCCTCCCAAGGAGATCCCAGCAACCTGTCACCCTGCCCAGAGCGGGGAACCCGCCCAACCTGTCCCCCTGCCCAGAGCGGGGAACCCGGCCGCCCTGCCTCCCCAACAAAGGGGGAACCAACGCGTCCTGTCCCCCTCCAGCAGGGCCCAGACCTCCTGCCCCCTCCCCCATAAAATAAAGGAGAAACCCAAACGTTCCGTCACCCCAAACAAGGAACCAAGCAGACTGCCCTCTCCCAGTAAACCCCAGCCATCCTCTCCCCGCAGAAAGGGCGGACCCAGCCCCCGGCCCCTCCTCCAGGGGAAGTTCCAGCATCCTGCCCATCTCCCAAAAGGGAGAAGCCAACATGCCGCCCCAATAAAGGCGCACGCTCCGCGTCCCCCACCACGGGGGAGCTCAGGCTTCTGCCCCTCTCACCGCACCCAAAGGAGGCGACCCGGCCGTCCTGCCCTCACCGCTGCCCAGAGCGCCCGGGCGGCCTCGTTCCCCGCGGCGCCTCCGAGAGCCTCAGGCGCCCGGGCCCTCCCCTCGCGGCAGCCGGGCCGAGCCCGCGCTCACCCGTTCTTGAGATCCACCTCGAGGATCTTGCCGTAGCCCTTGAAGAAGCGCTCCACGTCGCGCTCCCGGGCCTGGTAGCTGAGGCGGCCGATGTAGACCCGCGGCATCGCGGGGCCGGGGTGGGCCCGTCAGGGGCCCGGGGGCCGCGCGGCCGCCTGACGTCACGGCGGCGCGCGGGCAGCGACGCGGGGCAACGTCACGGCGGGCCACGCCCCTGGCGCGGGCTGGCTCTTAAGGGGGCCATGCTGCCGGGTGGGCCCCACCGGCCCGGAGGTGCGGTCCCGTTCCCCATGGAGCGGATGGCTCGATCCCCCTTTCCCCCGTGTCTGATGGGCAGGACAGCGTGCGATCCCCCTTCCCACGGCTCAGGGGGCTTGTGGGGTCCCCTCTCCCCATCCACGGGGTTTATTGGGGTTTGCCTTCCCGTGGGGATCCCGTTCCCTGTGGAGAGGAAGGATCGATCCCCCGTTTCCCCCGTGCAGGGCGCTGGTGACGGTGCCGAGGCGCTTATGGGGTCCGCTCTTTGGCAGGGGTCTGAGGATTGCCCCACTCCTAAAATGCTGGATCCTGATGGCACCCCAAAGGCAGGCAGGGATGGGGGTCCCCCATCCCCACACTCGGGGTGCCCAGGTGTCCCTCCATGGCATTCCCCATCCGTGAGCAGACTTGGCTTTTTCTCATTCCCTCTGGCGAGCAACAACATCCCTCTTGCTGAACTCTAAATGTCAGGTTTGGGGAATTATTTTTATCCTTTTGGTTAAGACGTCAGATGCCTAAATCACACCAAATCCCAGCAGAGGCTCTTGGAACATTCCAACATTAGTAGCCACCCCCCTGAAAAACCCCACAATCACCTCCAAAACAATTAATATTGTGTAGGTACAAGACCAGCAGCTGGATTTCCAGCCATGATCTTGCTCATTTGACAAGGAGAATTAAATTTATTTATTTATTCCTTTGTGCTCTGGTATAGGAGTGAGAGGTCGGAACATTTTGTGAAAGAGTTCTCTAAAGCATGTTGGGTTTTATCGCTGAGCCCAATAAACAATGGGGGATAAAAGCTCTGCATTAATTTTTCTGGTTTATGCCACGCTTAATAGTGCTTATAACGATCTCTTGGTTCTTTTTTTGCTTTTTTTCCCCCACTTTATCCATCGATCAGGAAGCACCAAGGCACAGGATGGGGCTCTGCTTCCAATGCTGGCATGGGGAAGGAAAATACAAAATATCGAGGGATTTATTAGGGATGGAGGAGCAGAAGGGAGATGCTGGTGCAGTCTATCCTGGGGCACACCTGCTCTCTGCTAGGGGAGGTCTCTGGGAGGGGTTTTGGGGGGATGAAATGGCTTTGACACATCCATTTAGTGGCCAGCGTGGCAGTGGGATTTAATTTCAGAGAGTTCTGCTCTTGTCCAAGTGCACATGCAGTTGTACATTGCTCCCTCCAATCCTGAGCAACATTCCTGCCCTGCTCTTCTCCTCCTCTTCTCAGGAACCAGAAAATCCCCCAAATGAAGGAACACCTTCCTGGGCTGTCCTCCCACTCAGAGCATGTTGGGAACTGGGCACAAGGTGGGAGAGCCCCAGTGAGGTCCCTGGGCCGGGTTCTGAAGGTTCTGAGGCAAAGAAAGTTTGAGGAACCCAACCCAAGGGAGGTCATTTCCATTGCAAGATGTGTTTGAGGAACATTTCCCCTGTAGCTCATCCTGTGGAGCAGCATGGAGAGCCTGCTGGGATCCAAGAACATCACCCAGGAACAGGGACAGTCACAGCAGAAGCAGCCCTGTGGACACTACACACCTGGATCATTCCAGAGGCATTCCATAGAGGCATTTCTGCATGGGGGAGAAGGTCCCAAATGAAAAACCTGAGGTCTGGGGCATTTGGATGTCCAGTGCTGTTCCCTTCCCCATCCCTGCCTGGGTACTGCTCCCAGGGGCACTGGGACACAGCACTGCCCTGGCAGGACATTCCACATGGAAACACAGCTGGATTCAGCTCTGGGCTCAAACAGATCTCTGGGAAATCAGGGTTTTGGGGTTATTTCTGCATCTCCCACCTCCTGCTGCCAGGAGACAGGTGTCACGCTGTGATGTCACTGTGATGGAACACAGACTGGAGAACTTCCCAGGCAGCTGGAGCCACAGGATTCCATCCTGCTGACTGTCAGGACCAAGAAGCTGGTTGGAGGCAGCCAAGCTGTGGAAAAATAAGTCTAAATGGAGCTATCTTCACAGGAGATATCCTGTGCTTCTGTCCTGGAGGATCCAGCTTGGTGGGTGGCTTCAGCTTCTCCTGACCATCCCAGAGATGATATGGGACCATCTTGGGATGCTGCTGTGAGACCCCCTGCAGACAAAAACGCCCTTGAAGGTTGGCCTGATGAATCCTGGGACCACAACATGAAATTTTTCTCCTTAGAGATCTCTGCTAGCATCAAACCTTTGACTGACTCTTTCCTCAAGAAGCTCTGGGAGATCCTGAGCAGCCAGAGTTTCGAGTCCATCTGGTGGGGCAACGATGGGAACTGCATTGTGATTGGAGAAAAGCTCTTCAGGAAGGAAGTGCTGGGCAGGAGGGGGCCCCAGAAGATCTTTGAGACTGAGTCCATGAGAAGCTTCCTTCTCCAGCTCATGTTCCACGGCTTCCGCAGAATGGAAGGGGATTCTCCCCTGCTGACCTCCATGGAGGAACTCAGAGCAGTAGCAGCAGCTGGGTCTGCACTGGGAAAGGTACTCAGAGCTTCCTTGGGACACTCACAGGGAGGTTCAAGTTCAGCTAAAATGAGCCTTGACAAGGCTGGAGACTGGATGGGAGCAAACAGCTTTGTTTTATCTTGGGATCAGTTACTCTGGACATGCTGAGCGGCCTGAAAACTAGTGGGCTTTGGGTTTCTTCAGCATTTTTCTGGCTTTTGAAAACCCTACACTTCTCTGCTCCCAAATGCTCAAAACATGAGGGTGGATGTGACTTAACAAAGCTCTGTCCTAACACTTTACTCAGCCAAAGCCAGAGTCCTTTAAACACCTGTTTTAAACACCTATTTGTCCTTTCCAGCCAACTCCTCAGCTCTCTCTCAGATTTCTTCCTCCTCCTTGCAGCAAACAACTCCTTTCCTTTGCCTTTTGCAGCTGCTGTTCTACTCCAACCCCTTTTTCACGAGGGATGACCTGCCCGGTGTCCGGAGGGCTCTGCAGGGTGCTGGGGAAAGCGCAAACCCCCTGGCTGTGCCCCCGCTGGGCACGGGGATCCTGGCAAACCTCCCAAGGAAAAGGTGGTGTGAAAAATCCATGTATTTTAGGACTGGCTTTTCGCAAATATTAAAATGAATATTATATGTGTTGTGTTAGAAAGCAATGCTGTATTAATTTTCTCAAGTACTGTGTTAAATATAGTTTTAGGTTATAAAAAACTGTTAAAATAGATACTATGCTATGTAAGATGCTTTGTTTAAAAGAAAGGACTTGCAGCAAGATAGCAGCCACAGGACACCTGAATCTTTCAGAGAAAAAGAATTTATTGCCTTCTTATCGGAAGAAACAAACTTCTTCCCGCCTCGAAGGCGCTCTTAGGATTAGAGGGAAGAAGTTGACACTGACCAGACAGAATCCTGCATTTGAATGGAATTTATGCATTATGTATGAAGTGTATGAATATGCAACAGGCTATTGTTTTTAAGGGTTAATCCTTTGTTAACGGGTGTCCTTTTTCGGGCTCGTGATGCCCAGTTTTTATTGTCTCCTATTGTCCTAATTCAATTTGTCCAAATTGTTATTACTCTAATTGTGTTGCTATTCTTTTTAACCATTTTATTACTATTAAACTTTTAAAAATGTTAAAAACAAGTGATTGGCGTTTTTCACAGGTGGGATGCTCAGCCGGCGGCAGGAGCGGAGGAGGATGAGGACACCCAGCCATGTCCGAGCAGCGGCTGCACGGTGCCCGAGGCACGGGCAGGCACAGCCCCCCGGGCCGGCACAGCCCCCCGGGCCGGCACGGCCGGGCCCTCCCCACACAAGCGGCCCTGCAGACACGGCCCCACCGGCGCCCCGCAGGCCGCTCCCGCTCGGCCCCGCGCCGCCCCTGCTGCCCCACACGGGCCCCGCACGCTCGCACTGCCCACACTCCGCTTTGAGCAGCCAAACCCCGGGGCTGCGCAGGGGCCCGCGGCTGAGCCGCCGCCGCCCTCCCGTCCGTGGTTTGGGATGGCCACGCTGGGGCCCGCGGCCGGCCGCACTCCGGCCCGCGGCCACTGCCCCACCTGCACCTGCACGGCCGGCGCTGCCGGGCCTCGGCACGGCTGGGCTGGGGACAGCAGGGGCCACAGGGAGCTTGTGGGGTCATAGAGTGGAAGAGCAGCACAGGAGGAAGCAAGAACACATTGTTGGTTGTTCTCAATAATAAATCTTTTCACATTGCTCTGCAGTGTCGCAGTTACTGTCCCACACCCGGACTGGAGCACCTTCAGGGACACTGAGGGTCTGGCTCCAGCCCTCCACGGCCAGAGGCTCTGGCCCTTGCAGTGCTTTTGGCCAAACGCAGCCAGGGGTGACCCAGGGCTCCTCCAGGAGCCGCAGCAGCACCCAGGGCCACTCCAACCACAGCACCCCTTGTCATTTGGGGCACTCCATGCCCCTTCCTCCTCCTACTTGGAGCTGGCCTGGAGGCAGCAGGGCTGCAGGGAGATAACAAGGGCTTCCCTGCCCATCCCACACTCCAGCTGGGATAACTACAGCCCTGCCAGCCCCAAAAGCACATCTGAGGGGGAACTGCTGCTCTTTTCACACCCTGAGCTGAGCTAGCCATCACTTGGGATCCCAAACTGCCCCCAGCCACAGTGAGATGCAGCCTCCCTCCCGCAGCACTTCCACACAAAGCTGCAGAGGCTTTTAAAGCTTTCAGTGGGCATCCAAAATGTGAAAAACAAAGGAAAAAAAGAAATTCAATGGATCTGTAGGGTCTTTTCCCCCCTCAAGTCTGTGGACAAGCATTTGAACAGGACAGGGCTCCAGGAGCTGCAGGTCAGAGGAGGAGGATCTGTTTGGAGGACACAAAGGGCTTCATGGAGGCCTCCAGCGCTGCCCTGTAGTCCTGAAGCGGGACCTCGGTGCAGGCGGGCGCTGTCAGCTGGCCCCTGCGGATGAGCTGGCACAGGGCGTCCATCATCGCAGCCACGCTCCCCTGGTCTGCACGGGAAGGAGGGAGCTCTCACTGCGCCATGCAGGGCCATCCACCACCCCTGGGAACACCCGCCCGAGGCTATATGGGGTCCCTGGTGTGACATGCCCCAGCTCAGGCATGTGGGATGAGGGAAGAGCCCCTGGCAGGGTCCCTGCCTGAGGCCAGCACCAGTGTCTCAGCACCCTGGTGATGCCTTAAGTTTGAGCTTTCTTATTTTCCAGATTCTGTCCTGCATTAGTGTGTAACTCTGAACTTCATATAAAGTGTCAGCAAGTTCTCCTCACAGTTCAGTCAGAACAATCCTTTTCCAGCCCCAGAACCAAGGACACCGCTGCAGCTTCAGGCCCAGAAAGTGCAAACAACAGCGAACTGAGGAGAGCAAACTGGGAGGGTGGGACTGTAACTGGACAATTAACCCCAATATGGAAACAGACCAAAACTTATAGAAGTGTGAAAACTTGGGACCCATGGTCCATCTTGGGTGTACCCTCAGCCAGGCTCTTGTACTGCCCAAGGTGTGTCCTTTGAAGGAAGCCTTTTAATAAATCCCTACTTTATTCCTTTAATACTGTCCAGCCTCTGTTCTACGCAGCCTCTAAAGGCATCACTGGGACAAGAGAGATGGCTCTGTGAGTGGGAGTGAGGATGGTGCTGGGTGGGCTTTAGTTCCCACTCCCATGCCTGGCAGGGGACCTCAGCCCTCCTGGCTCAGGTCCCTCAGCCCCCCTGGCTCAGGTCCCTCAGTGCCCCCAGCTCAGGTCTCTCAGCCTCCCAGCTCAGGTCCCTCAGCCCCCCAGCTCAGGTCCCTCAGCCCCCCCAGCTCAGGTCCCTCAGCCCCCCAGCTCAGGTCCCTCAGCCCCCCTGGCTCAGGTCCCTCAACCCCCCAGCTCGAATCCCTCAGACCCCCCAGCTCAGGTCCCTCAGCCCCCCCAGCTCAGATCCCTCAGCCCCCCCAGCTCAGGTCCCTCAGCGCCCCAGCTCAGGTCCCTCAGCGCCCCAGCTCACCCTGTGCGTGGTCCTTCCGCCACTGCGTCATCCAGAACCCGCGGAGCCGCATGTCCCGGAAGATGAAGGCACTCTGTGGAATGTGTGACACCTGTGTGTCCTCCTGGTAGCCAGTGACACTCCTATGTCCCCTTGTGCATCCAGTGACTCCATGTCCCCTCACACAGGCAGTGACACGTGTGTGTCCCCTCCCAGCGTGACAGTGGTGGAAAGCGGCAGTAAGGCCCCTTGTAAGAGCTGCCATTTGTGAGCCAGGGATGTGGAGAGGTGACTCTGAGATGTGGAGTCAGGGCAGGTTTGATGCTCAGCATCTGCAGGATCACTTCCCCCCTGGAATTTTTTGGCAGCCCAAACCCTCCATATAAAAAGCCAAGAGCCCAGCAGTGGGACGCAGCTTGTCCTGTGACGGATGTCATCAGGCAAATTAAAAAGGCTGGAGGGTCTCAGTCTGCACCTGAGGAGAGCCAGGTGCCCACAGTACTGAGGGGATGGGGACGTGCAATGGAGAGCAGGAGACTAAAGAGGGAGTACTCACCACAGGCACCATCACAGGCTGCTTTGCCATCCCCCCATAGGTGACCATGGTCCCCTTGGGCCTGGAGTAGAAAAAGGGGTATTGGGTTAGGTGGTCCCAAAAGTGCAGCTCCGAGTTGCCACCTCCTCCTCTGTCATCCCCAACCCCCCTGGGGCTGTCCTTGCACCCAGGGCTCCCCCGTTACCTCTCAGATCCCACTTTCCAAGCTCTCCTCTTGCTTCTGTGCACCATTAGCTGAATTTGCAGCTCAGCCAGCTCAGCACACCAGTTACACCTGGCCAGGACCTGGGGAACCTTCACAACTGGACCCCAACTACCCCCAGCAGCGTGAGACTTCAAATTGCTGTTGTTGCCCAAAACCACTTTTCCATTCATCTTTCCTCTTCAAAAGTTCAACAGACTCCAGAGCAGGACCCTCCATTGCCAGTTTCTGTCCCCAAGCTTGTGCCCAAGCCACCATCCAGCCAAACTTACTGCAGATGCCGCAGCATCTCTGTGGTGCTTTTGCCTCCAACGCAGTTCAGGGCGAGCCGGGGCCTCGGGATGCTCTGCAAGGGTTTATGACAAAGGTTCCCAAATTTTATGGCTTCTTTAGGGGATGGGACCATGGTTTTTGATAAAGCATCTGCATTAACCTCAACATTTACCTGAGGGCTGCTGAGAGTAGTAGAGCTAAAATCCATCAGAATCATGGAACAGCTGGGGTTGGAAGGGACTCATTCCAATCCCCTGCCATGTACAGAAGACACCTTCAGCTAGACCAGGCTGCTTCAAGCCCAATCTGATTGGAACCAAAATCTGTGATCTTTCCCTTGTGGCAGCAGCAAAATCCCTCCAACTACCAGGGCTAAATGTCGCAGACATCTTTTCATTAAAATCCTTTCTTAGGACTTTTTCCTGCTGAAGCTGAGAAGTTTCAGCAACAAATAAATGTAAGCAATGGTTATCTGCTGCTGTGGAATGCAACAGGTGGATCTGTGATTGGTCTCCTGTGGATGTTTGGATTTACTGACCACTCACGGCAGAGCTGCTCTCGCTTTCTGCCAGGACACAGACCTTTGTTATTAATTCTTTTCTATTCTTAGCTTAGCTAGTCTTCTGAGAACTTTTCTTTCTATTTCTTTTTAGTACAGTTATAATGTAGTATATATATCAAAAATTATAAATCAAGCCTTCTGAACATGGAATCAACATTCCTGCCTCTCTCTTCACCTGAAAACCCTTGTGACCAAGTCACAGCTAAATCCTTTTCTAGAGAGAAATTTGTCCTTCCCATCATCCCTGCATTTCCTCGCAGTGCTGAACAGCAGCAACAGCCCTGGACCATCTCTTAGTGGGATCAGCATTGAGGTACCTTAAATATATCTTTCATCTCTGGCTTTCTCAGCATCTCCTCTGTGATCACATGGTCAGCACCCAGGGCCATCAGCCTCTCCACCAGTTTTGCGAGATCAGGTCTGGGGAGGGAAAAGGAGATAAAAAAAGAGGACTAGATGAGCAGGAAGCAGAGTTCCCCCTTCTCCTTCCTTCTGCTCTGATGTTGCATGGGGACAACAGGGAAGAGGCTGGAGAACAATTTAGAGGAGGAAATGGGAGAAAATCCTGGGTTGGATGGGCAGGATGATCAGATCCAGCTCCCAGACTCGCTCCTCCCCAGAGGACCCACCTGTCCCTCACCACATTGATGGTCTTGATGCCAGAGGCCCTGGCGATCTGGATGACGGCCTGGCCCACCCCGCTGTTGGCGGCGTTCTGGATGACGGAGTCACCTGGATGGGAATAAACGCAGATTCCACTGCAGAGGCAGCCGGGAAATCCGTGTGGAACTGCTCCCTCGTGGCGGGGCCATACCGGGCGCCAGGCTCTCGAAGTCAGCCAGCAGCCGGAACGCCGTGCAGGGGTTGACGCTCAGAGTGGCAGCGCAGAGCATCGGGATGTCACTGGGCACCTTCAGCAGCATCTCCTCAGGGAACACTCCCCGTGTCCGCCACGTCCCTGGGAACAGCAGCACCATGGGCACAGCAGGGGGGAAAGCAAAGGAAAACCATCAGCTCACATTGTAGGTTTGGCAGCACAGCATCAGGTGCTGGGAACCAGCTAGACCCTGGAGAGAGAATTACGGAATGGGTTCCCATATGGGTAGAATCAAAATACTCCATGAGGCAAGGAATGGATTCCTTGCTGCCTGCCAAGATTTATCACCCAACAAAGCCTAATCATTTCCCAGAGGGATAATGGGACTGGGGCTCCCTGGGTATGTGTGCAGAGATAATGGAAATACTCTCCATCCTATGGATGAGCCCATATATTCCAAGCCAATTTAGTCAGCTTTACTCCCTCTATGCTTCTATCTAATTTAACCCTCTACATCTATTTACAGTGGTTTTATGCTTAAAAATACCCCATTAGGCTCTTAACTCTATCGTTTTCCTTCTCTCATTTAGCAGAAAGTCTTTTAAAAGAAAACAGGCAAAGAACAAGCTGTGACACTAAACCACAACCAGCAAATATCAGGCCATTGGCATTTTGGAGGAGCATGGGAGACATTTGTTGGGAAATAAATTCCCACACTTTCCCAGCAGAGCATTATTAAAGAGAAAACTACAGTGAGAGGCCACCATGACCTTGCCTGTGTGAAATATTTTATCCCAGGTCTTTAGGGAAGCTCTAAGCTGATGGGACAAAATGTAGTTGTTTCCTGAGAAATACAGATTGCTGCAATGCTTTATAATAGCACAGACATCCCATAAAGGGTCTATGCTACAGAAGATTATTGTAAAATTCAAGTTTGGCATAAGGAATGGCATTGCCACTGCTCCTATTCCAGGTGTTCTAGGGTGCATGCTAAGTCCTGTGCACAAAAGCCACTTCCCTGGGGACCCCCATCCTTCTTGAGAATGTTCCTGTGTCTGTGGAGGATGAGCAGCATCACTTGCTAGGGCTGGGCAGCAGAAACTGAGCTTGCTTTTAAAAAATGCATTAAAAATAAAATAAAAACAAATTAATTAATTTAAAAGAAAAACATGTGGTGAAAATAAACAAAGACATAAATAGGTAAGAAATAACCCCATCAATCATCCCAACTGTCTCATTATGATTGGTCTCACATTGGTTCCAACTCCTGCTTCCTTCCCCCAGCATTCCCTAATGGACTTTTGTTCCCCATTTTGAGTCCCATCCCATCAGGTGTAATTGCTGTAAGTGCAGGGGTTCATGGCTCTACCCACACCCTGCAAAGATGGTGCTTTGGAGAGCTGTGCTTTTGCTCTGGAACCCCCAAAACCCCCGCAGCAGCTCACACAGGAGCTGACCATGGGTTTGCTCTCTGGGCAATCCTGGGCACCCCCCATGGGCTCCAGCACCTCAAAAATCTCCTGGCAAGATGCTTTGCAGTGTGGGGTGAGCAAGGACTCAGCAATGCTTTGCAGTGTGGGGTGAGCAAGGACTCAGCAATGCTTTGCAGGGGGGGGTGAGCAAGGACTCAGCAGTGCCGAGGGGAACTCACCGAGTCCGGCGTCTGCAGGGATGACCCAGTCCCCAGGTTTCAGAGCCTTCACGTGGCGCCCAACCTCCAGCACCTCCCCGACACCTTCGTTCCCCCCCACGGCGGGCAGCGGCAACAGGAGGGGGTAGGTTCCTGTAGGGAAGCTGGAGGTGAGCTGGAGACCCCCTCACACCCCAAAATCCCCGTGTCAGGAGCCATCTCTGAACCCTCCGAGACAGGAGCTGGGTTTGTGTGGGATCTCAGCACAGCAGTCCTGATGTGCAGAGTCACCGAGACCACCCTTGTGGGGCTCGGAGGTCCTGGAATGTTGCCAGAAGTGTCTGGTGGCTGGACTTTGATCCTGCACAGGAGACGACACCTGTATGAGGATGGGAGGATCACACGGGGATAAATGGTGAAGGGATAGGTTAATTAGAGTGTGAAACACAGGTTTTAGACTCTTGGTACAGGGGGGTTCTAGAGAAAGAAGATGGAGGAATTAGGGCATGTCCTGTCCTTCTTGTTCTTCTTCTTGGCCTCCATCTTCTGTGGTGGTGGTGGCACTTTGGGATTGGTTCTTACTAAAAGTGCACTTGTCAATAAGGGTGAAAGGTATTGGGGAAAATAGGTAAATATCTTATACATAGTTTTGGGTATAAAGATAAGTGACCGCCCCGAGGGCACTCAGTGTGCTCATGGCCGACGTGCTGTGCGGACCTGTCGGGCCGGGAGAAAATCTTGTAGATAAAAACTGATAAACACTGAAGACCGAGAAAAAACCGGAAGACTCCTTTCGTCCTTTGGAGCGCGGGCTATCCCAAGGCCATCCCAAGCCTTTCCAGGCCATCAAAAACAGCCGGGAACGGGACAGGTTTGAAGATCCTCGTGGGTCCCTTCCAACTCGGAGCATCCTGCAAGAGCCAACGCGCAAAGTACTGATCCAACACACTACCTTGGATCATGTTGATGTCGGCGGGGTTGATGGGTGCTGCCAACATTTTGACATGGACATCGCAGTCCCCCAGCTTGGGCACTTCCAGGTCCTTCAGTCTGAACAGGGAGACACAAAGGAAAAGGGCATCAACACCAGTTTGCTGATGCCTTCTGTGCTGTGGCTGAAGCTGGAGGGTGCCTGTATCACCTACACCTCACCTAAATTAATAGCACTGCATGCCTCATCCTATCAAAACAATCAGATTTCTGTTAGACAGAAGGACAGATTTTTGAAAAGGCTGCTAAAAGCCAACCGCCCAAAACAATCCTGTGTCACCAAGCCCAGAGATGCTCACTAAACTTAACAAACTCAGCAGGTTGTGTAAAAAAGCTGCGGTTTTGGTTGGGGATTTTACGGCTCATCCTGCCCCGCTCGAGCGTTATGGGAAACTGGGGTATTTCTGGAAATCTGTGAAAAGGGAGAAGTCACAAAGCACAAAGCAAGACCAGTCTTGCACAAGCAATGGTGTGGTAACAGCAAATCTCAGGAAGTAGCAGTGTTGACAAGCACCATTGCACAACTAAATGATCATTCGGAAGAGCAACAGTCCTCCAAAAAAACCAGGGGGTTGGTGTCTGGATGCACCTGGATAATGTATCAGCGTGAACTGAGCTGGTTCAAGACGGGCAGCAGGAGCTCAAAGTCTCCTCCCTTGAAAAAAATGGCCTAAACTCCACTAAACGACAATTTCTCCTTTCCAGGATTTTTGATGCTGAGCATCAGCAGTTGCTCCAAAAATGCTTGTGATGCTGCTTTAGTCCCTCAATTGGGATCTCAAAGGGAAGACCCATCAGTGGGATGCAACCCAGGGCCAAGTTGGGGCACAGCGATGCTGAGGCTTGGACTCCCTGTCGTACCCCAAATTAAGCAAGAATGGGCTTTTTGAGAAAAACATGAGGTTTAAGACCAACTGACAGAGCAGCAGCAGGAGGGTGGGGGATACGGAGGCATCACCCCCAGCATCCACCCGTGAGACCATGGCACCACGAAAACATTGGGGCATCCTAGGGTGCTCCAGTCCCCCTGCATGTTCAGGGGTCCCACAGGGAGCTGCAACCCATCCCCATCCTCTACATCTGGGATGGGCAACTCCTGACCCCCCTGCACTGCACCCCCAAAGCACCCCAAAACCTGCACCCCCACTTCTCTCTGCACCCCTGCAGCCCCAGATCTCCGCCCAGCTGTGCCCCCCCAGCCTTGGCCCTACGCCTGCACCCCCTCCCTGCAGTGCCCCCCCACATTCACACCCACCCCATTCCTGCACCCCCTGCAATGCACCCCGGGTCCCCCCTTACTGCACGACGGCTGCGGCCTCCCCGTGCCGCTCATAGAGCAGCCCGAGCGGAGGGGTCCCCGCCGAGGCCGACCGTGCCCGCACCGGGGGGGTCCGGACCAGGGAGGTCATCACTTGTGGGGTCCGGACCAGGGAGGTCAGCACTCGGAGGCTCCGTGCCGGCGGGGTCAGCACTTGCGGGCTCCGTGCCGGCGGGGTCAGCACTCGGAGGCTCCGCGCCCCGCGCAGCACCCGCGCTGCCGCTCGCTGCATTCGGCTGAACTCGGCTCCGCTCGGCTGAACTCGGCAAGTCTCGGCGCTCCCCGGCTGAGCCCGGCGCTGCCGCCGGTGACGCTCGGGCTGGCCCCGCCCCCGGCCGGCCCCGCCCCGCGGCTTAAGGCGGCCCGGCCGCCCGTGCGCGGAGGGGGCGGGGCCTTGGCGAGGCCTCCCCGCGGCCGCTTCCCGCCCGTTCGTCCCCAAAACGCTCCCAAGTTATTGACTGTGTCCGGTCTGCGCAAATGAGCGTCGCTGACGGGCATAGGAGCATCTCGGTCCGAGTGGTCACTGGATCATGGAATCATTTAGATCGGAAAATACCTGCAGGATCAGCCCTGGAGCCCTGGCGGTGCCCGAGGCCCGGCTGGGCGCTGGGGCTGGCAGCACCTGGGACAGTGGAAGGTATCCCTGCTATGGCAGGCGTGGAATGAGATGAGCTTTAAGGTCTCTTCCCACCCAAACCATTCCATGGTTCTGTGATTTTGGGGAGAAAAGTCCATTTTCTCTGCTTTATTGCCCGGTCCTGTCTGGGATAGACACACTCCTGGCAGGGAGAGCTGCAGGAACGTGTTCGTCAGATGATTACTTAAAACAACAGATGCCTGACACAAGTGGTGAGGAAAAAAAATCCGACAGTAATTTAATTCAATGTTTTGTATAATTATCTTGAAGGAAAGGTCTCATTTAGTCTTCCAATTATAACTGACTAGATCAGAGGGGGAAAAGAGAAGCAGAGCCTCCTGCCTTCCAGATAGACCTGTCACAGAGGATTGCTTTGCTAAGGATGGATATCCAGGGGAGGAGTTGCTTGGTTCAGCCCCACAGATCCCTCCTGGATCCTCACAGATCGTCCCAAGCCTGGCCCCATTGTGGGGATCCAGCACAGACGGATACTGGTGGGTACTAAAACAAGGCCAGGTGCTCAGGGCAGGATTTTTTCTGTCTCAGGTGACCCAGCCCTAAGACTGTCGTGATCCTAAGCAGAAGATTTAGTCAAGCTGCTTGATATGTTCACATAATTTTTTAACAAAAAAGGAAACCAACCTAGTTTTTGGGGTGTGAATTCAGATTCAAGATGAAGGAAATGTCCAGGTTTGGAAAAAACTCTCTTCCAAAGTGCTGGTGACAGGTTTTCTGCCTTTTCTAGGTTATGATTTGCTTTTGGGGGTGCCTTGGAGGGCTCATGGGTGTTCCCACCAGAGCCTCTGTGACAGCACAGAGAAGAGAGACTAATAAAGAACTTTTCTCACCAACTTCTTCAGTTTATAAGGAGCCTTAAGGTCACTTGTAGGTGGACGTAAAAGTCTCCCATGTGATGGCACTGCAAGGACAGCAGAGTCACAGGACAAAACAGCCTCTTCCCACCTGGTTGGTTTGGGATCCTGGGCACATCCAGGTCCTGGCAGCACCTCCACCTCCAGGCAGGAAGGGGCCTCCCCAGCTGCCTCCAGCATGGCTGGACATTTCAATCATTTAATCATTTTAATCTAACCACAGCAATAAAATAATGGGATTTTAATAACCTCAAAACCTACAGCTTTCCAAGGACGCCAGGAATGCCTCAGATATTTTGTGTTGGGGGATGCACAAGCAATCCATGGTGTAGAATGCTGGTTGTGTCCGTGCTCTGCCCCGCATGGCAAAGGGTTAATCACTAATTACAGAAGCCAAATGAGAGGCCTCTCCATCCCCTTGCAAACGTGTGCTCCCGCAAATCAGAGCTGGCAGACGATTTATGATTATTTTGTTAATGTTTCTCCTGTAACAAGCACAATTTCCGGGTGATTAATGACTACTTCACATCCTGGAATTGCACTTTTTTTATAGGAGCGTTGCATGAAAATCCACTTTGCACTTGAGGGTTTAGGAGTGGGCGGGCAGAGGAGGAAGAGGAGATGATTCCCCAGCACCTGGCAGGGGGAAGGAATGCTGTCCTCTGCTCCCCTCTGCTTTAACCCCTGTTATTGTTAACGAGCTCTGATTTATCACAATGTCATGATTTACAGCCATCAATTAATTGCAATTGTTCACGCTTGGGCATGGCTGGAAAGCAAGAGTGCTGATGATAAGTTGGATTTGTTCCCGCAGGCATGAGGGGATGCAGGGTGGGAACAAGCACCTTTGTGACACCAGGGTGGCATGTGCTGGGATTCCATCCCTAAATCCTGTTGAAGACAGAGATTTTATCTCCTGGTTTAGGAGGACTTGAGCCCAGCAGGTTCAGCCTGAGCCCAGGAGCCTCGTGTGGACTGTGCTGCCTCGAGCTCTCCCAGTGCTTAATTAAGTTAATGTGGAATTATTAATTAACTGCTTATAAGACTGACACCCCTTTTAATTAAGGGGAATAATAATTTATTGCCTTTTCCCTTTTTGGTGGAGAAATGGAAGGTGTGTGTCTGCTTTGCTTAGGAAAAAAATAAGAAAGCTGAGGCTGGAGAGATTTCTGGGAAGGGTTTCTGAGGGGGGATTTTGATGTTGCATCTCTGTGCCTGTTCCAGGGCAGCTAGATGTGGTGCAAGCCCTGTTGGATCCCCTGGACATCAGGTCGAGGTCAGGAGGCTGGGATGGGATTTTAGGGCTGGGATGCACCAAAAGGACAAGGCTTGCAACCAAGCTGCAAAACATCTCCCTTGTGCAGGCAGAGAAGGGGATGCTGAGAATCCCCCGTGGGGGAGGCAATGGAGGGGCTGCCCCGGCCCTCAGCACTGAGCTCCCGTGTGCCCAGAGCCTTCTGCCTCTCCCACCATCCTGCTCCTGTGTCCATTGCAGGCTCCTGGGGCCACTCCCTCCCCACCCCCTGCATTTTGTAATGCTTAAGAGCAGCTCAGCTGGTTATTTTCCCATTTTGAGCCTCATTCCCCCCAAACCCAGCGCTGCTGGTAGAACCCCATTGCTCTGACATCAATCGCTTTTTATTAGACATGCCTGAATCTTTGAATGGAAAACACATTGTCCTTAAAGATCTGCTTTACATAATCCTTGGTTTATCCCTGAATCCCTCATTTAACATCTCTGATGGAGCTGGCCAATCCCATAAACTATTGAATTCTTCACCTCAAAACGTGTGCCTGATGCTCCCAAGTCCACATGGGGATGAGGGCAGTGAGATGGGATGCCCACAGAGGTTTATTTTTTTAAGCACACTGATGGCTGTTTTTTGCCTCTCTGATTTTTTATTAATCCCCCTTTAAGTTGTTTTATTGTCAGATAATTAAGAAAAAATGTCTGGGAAGAAACATGACGCTCGGTGGCGAATGGAGGATTGATGAGTTCTGATCCTCTGCCAAGGAGATGAACAAGGAGGATTCAGCTCCAGCCATAAATAAGGAAGGAGAGAGAGATGCTGAGAGGATCCAGCTGTGCTGGGACATCGTCCTTGCTTGCTCCTTGCTTTTCCCGTCACGGCTTTTTCCTGTGCTGCCAGTATTCAGGTTGTGCAGTGGAGCTCTTCCATCCCTGGACTTTCAGGGTGATTGATGCAAAAATCATCCTGTTCAGGCATTTTTCCAGCTTGGGACAGTGCAGGAACTGGTCTCGGAGGCTGGTGTTTGGGACGTGACTCAGAAGTGAGGTGTGATGTCCGCAGGGATGAGGAAGAGCATGGCTGGGGTGGGGAGGGGAGACGCTGCTTTTGGAGAGATGCTTCTTTTGGGCCCCATGTTGCCACAATGGCACCCAGAGGCATCATCCCAAGTGACTTGGCAGGGAAGATGTCTTGGAACAGCTTTAAAAGTTGCCCAGGTGAAGAAAGGCACCAAATTGGTGTCTCTTATCCTTTTAAAACTGCATTTTAAATTCTCATTTTCCTTCTGTTGTCTGTAGACCTGAAATTTCCCCGTCATTGCAGGAAATTTTTAGTGTGAACAATTATTTGGGAAAAGAACTGATGGATGTCTGGGTTCTGTCCATGCCTGAGCCAGTTGGTTTTGTTTGTTCCCATGAAATGCCCGATAAACTCTTTTTGTCACAAACTGCCGAGCGCAGCCTTTCCCCAACGGGATTTGGAAAGGCACCAAAGCAGAGCTGCCGATGCTCAGAGGAGGGCAAACGAGAGACAGGAGAGCTGACACTTCTCCTGTACAGAAAACTGAACAACATAAACCCAAACAAGATGTAAAACCAAATTTAAAATGATAATAAATAAAGGTTGGATGTGATACTGTTCCCTCCTTTCCTTGCTGTTGGATTTTAAAAGGAGCTGGTTGCACAGCCAGCTCTGTGCTCAGGCTCCAGCCTGTCAGCACTGAGACATGATTATGAGAAATTTGAGCAATAGCCAAACCTCAGGTCTGAAAATAAATGACATTTGTGATTTTGGATGTGATCAGAGACACAAAATGCCTCAGCTGATTTACATCCCCCCAAAGAAAACCTCCATCCTGAGGCAACACCGAAGGAGCAGCACAAAGAGCTTTGGCGTAGAACTGGCTGGGTTCTATGCCTTGGTTCTGGTTGGTTTTTAATCAAGGTCATTTTTTTGCGAGGTTTAGGGATGGGCAAATCCGAGCAGCTGGAATGGCAGCTGGGCTGGGTGAATTGCTGAGCAGGTGGACAGACGGATGGTGCATGGTGCTGGGGTGTGTTTTGGGGTTAAAAGCAGTCTGCAAAAATTCCAGGAGCATTGATGATGCTCCCAGACAGTTCCAAAAGCAGGGGAGGGACTGGAATGGACACTTGTGTCCCCAGTAATGTGATTTTTAACTGTTTATGTGACAATTCCAGGGTGGGGACCACAAGGTAATGCAGAGCTATTCCTGCATTTCTACCCCACACTCCCAGAGGTCTTTCCAGGAATAAAAAAAAGAGACAAAAATGACTCGAAGGAAGATAAATAAGCCCACAACAAGGTGACATGGAGGAAACATTTGGGCTTTTCCTGCACAGGTGGCCAGGAAGCAGCTGTGGCTCCAGGTGCCGTGGGTGCAGCCCCAGGAGCATCACGGTGTGCCCAGAGGTGACACTGTGGTGCCGCTGTCCTCATGTCTGTCACACTCCAGAGAGGACAGAAATGGGAGGGTTTAGGACGGTAACAGAGGGG